TATGATGATATGAACACGAATGTCATCTCCAGCTGCTCTGAGAGTCACTTCATTAGCATTTTACCGTTTCATTTGAGAAAACTACCGTCATATCACATACACAGCAGCTGCAAGTTCTTCACGGCAACCCGTCAAAATAAAAGTTTAGTTTAACATTAAAAAAACTGTCAGAATCTATTACTATTTAGCAGTCTTAAGACTCAATGCTACTACTGCTAATAAATATGAATAAATCTTTATTTTTAAAGGAATAATCACATCTGTTTTATTTTTAATTTTAACAGTAAACCTCTGTTGTGCAGCACTTTGTTTGCCAAAAAAATAAAAGGGTTTAATTTTCATTTGATTAGGATAAATTAAATTAATGTTTTATGCCTTCATCTGATTACCAGAAAAATTAAGAACATTTTATTAATAACATTATATATTATTGTTTAAAAAGGACCCATACAAAAAAAAAAGAATAGGTTTAAAATACAGGCATGTGGTTCTTAATTTATTTTTATTAATTCACCATTTGTAATAATAAAAAAAAATCGAGAATCGAATCGATACCCAGCGATACCCATCGAATCGATACCCAGCGATACCCATCGAATCGATACCCAGTTTGTTCTGACACAGTTGAGCTCTTCTCATATTTTAGTACCATTTTCTAAACTATAGCAAATAAACTTGATATAATGTGAGAAATGTTGAAGTTGAAGATTTTTTTTACACATCTTGAATTATCAGCTCATATAACTGCGTTCTGATAGACTGCATCACGATCATCAGCAACAGTGTGAGATGGACAGGTCTGAACAGGGAAATGTTCTAATCTCGTTGTTATTTCTTTAAAGGGGTCATATGACGTTGCTAAAAAGAACATTATTTTGTGTATTTGGTGTAATGAAATGTGTTTATGCCATCTAGTTAACGTGTTAAATGGACAGGCCTGATATAGGACAGTGTTTAATAAGAGTGTGTTCTGTGTCCAGCACAAGTGGACGTCCTGACAGCTGCTCTGAGAGCCACGGCGCTGGACTCTGGACTGGAAGACGCTTTCCTGGAGCCTCGAGCGGCTCGATCAAACCCTTTCAGCTCCCAGCAGCCCTCAGAACACCTGTCAGCCGACACACAGGTGAACACACTCATACACTCACTCATACACTCACTCATACACTCACTCATACACACACGCTCACACTCTCACACATACTCACACTCACACACACACGCACACTTGCACATACTCGCGCTCTCACACACACACTCACACTCACACACAAACACACACACACACACTCTCACACACACACACACCCCTGAGCTCCTGTCAGCCGACACAGGACACGTTCAAACTGTCTGATTCCAAACTGAACTGGAAGATTTGTTTGTCACTTGATTCTCACCAGAGTCTTTGTGTGCTGATTTGCACATATCTGTAGATACATATTGCTGTTGATGACTGAGGTTAGTGCATGAAAAGTAGAAATGAAGTGTTCATGAAGTGTTCAGATTCACTGTGTTGAATCTGAGCTGTATGGTTTCATGCGCCGTGTGTTTCAGAGGCGTGACTCCTCTCTACACGTGATGCATGACGATGATGATTCTGACGTGAGCGACAGCAGCCTGAGTGCTGAAGACCAGCGGAAATCCAAACAGCAGGTCAGTGCCGCATCACTGACTCAATCCCATCATGCTCTGCTCTGACAGACTCATTCCCATCATGCATTGCTCTGCTTTGACGATTCCGTCCCATCATGCTCTGCTCTGACCGACTCATTCCCATTATGCACTGCTCTGACCGACTCAATCCCATCATGCATTGCTCTGCTTTGACGATTCCGTCCCATCATGCTCTGCTCTGACCGACTCATTCCCATTATGCACTGCTCTGACCGACTCATTCCCATCACGCACTGCTCTGACCGACTCAATCCCATCATGCATTGCTCTGACCGACTCATTCCCCGAGTGTGTGTGTGTGTGAGTCTGTGAGAGAGTGTGTAAATGTGTGAGTGTGTGAGTGTGAGTGTGCGAGAGTGTGTGTGTGTGTGTGTGTGTGAGAGAGTGTGTGTAAATGTGTGAGTGTGTGTGCTCCCTACCTCGCATCGGGCCCCGCGTCAGCTAAGGACGGCACTGAGTGTGTGTGTGTGTGAGAGAGAGTGTGTGTGTGTGTGTGTGTGTTAGTATGTGTCTGTACAGGAGCAGTCTCCAGGGTTGTTTGTCACCTAAATAATCTTCGGAGATATACTTTTAACTTTATGCACATCTGTTAAGATTCTAGACGTTTTTCTCTAACTTAACCAATCAGAATCCTTTTTACCTAAGTAACGACGTAGTTAGTGACCTCTGTTAGAGTATAATTACTATTGTATTGAGATTGCACGCAGAGCAGCCTACGAACTCTTCGCGAGTACTGAAGCTGACTTCTTCTGATGAAACTGCAAACTATTTTCTTCAGTAAATGTTAAATCTTCAGTTGATTGCATCTCTGACTCCTGGTCTTTGTTCATCATATCTGGTCCTTGGGTCTTAACTGTAAATTCCCCTACACAGTGTATTTTACTTTTTACATGTAGTTAGTATGTCATTATTTTAATGACAAATGTTGAGAGTGCATTATTGTAGCACAAAAGCACATTAATATAATGCGCGAGTGCGAATCTCTCTGCTCGCATGCAGATTTCCAACAATTTACCAACAATAAAAAAAAAACAAGGAAAGGCCCTGAACAAATCTGTTTTGAGACTGTTTTTTAGAAGTGCATAATAATAACTTTTGACAACGAAAAGAATTAATATCTAGCGCATGAGCACAGAGAGAGCTTGTGTGTATGAACCGGGCTTGAATTGAGGGGGGATGGCATCCCCTTGGTTGAAAAAAATGACAAAAAGCATCCCCACCTGTAGCTGTTTTTATGCATGTTTTAAAAAATGAGTTTTTGTTGCATTTACACACTTTTGACCAGCAGGCTTCACCAGCGTGTGGTGTTTCGAGCGCTTCGAAACAGTGAATCATTTTGCGAAGCAATTGGTTTAATTGATTTGAAGCTTCGAAGAGGTTAATTTCTCCCATCATGTGTGTGTGTGTGTGTGTGTGTGTGTGTGTGTGTGTGTGTGTGTGTGAGTGGAAGGTGCGGCGGACGCTGGCGTTCTCCATCCATGAGCTGGCTCTGATTCTGGGTGATCAGCTGACCGCTGCTCATCTGGTGCCCATCTTCAACAGCTTCCTGAAGGACCTGGACGAGGTTCGCATCGGCGTCCTCAAGCATCTCTACGACTTCCTCAAGGTCACAGATAGCACTGTGTGATTCTCCTTTTTTTTTTCTCTCTCTCTTCTGTTGCTTTTTCCTTTTTTCTGTTCTCCTTTCTTTTTTATGCTCCATTTTATTTATCCTTTTTTTTCTTTCTTTAATTATTTTTATCTATTTATTTTATTAATTAATTTAATTGTTTTCATTTTTTTCTTGTTTTTTTCTGTCTGTCTTGGTTATTTACTGACAGTTTGATCAGTGTTTTTTCTATTGTCCTTTCTTTTTCTTTTTTCTTTTTAACTTAATTTATCCTTTTATTTATTTATTTAATTATTTTTATTTATTCATTTTTATTTTTTGATTTATTCATTCATTCGTTCATTTTATTTTTTTTAATATATTTCTTTTTTTTTTTCTGTTTCTTGGTTATTTACAGACTGTTTGATCAGTGGTTAGTAGGGCTGGATAAAAAATCTCGATATCTATTTTAATCGATTCTCATTTTTACAAAACGATATTGATTCTTAAATCCCAAGAATCGATTATTCTAGCCTGTTTTCAGTTAATGGATGGGTCATCGAAGGGCACTTCCCATCCAATAAATCACAGTAAGCATTGTGCTTTGGTGCTTTTAATATGAAACAAAGTCTCAGATTTCAAATTCTGTCCATTGTATTGCAGTATTCAAACAATAAATGCAGTTTTGGCGCTGTTTAATGTGGAGTGACAGATCGCTGTAGCGCCTCAGTTTAACAGACGTGAACTGATCATCTCCTCCACATTAATACCAGCTTCAGCACAAAATAAACATGACTAAACATCCGGAGGTAAGTTAAAGAAAGAGTACAACTTTACAATCCGTATCCTGTTCACATGTATTTGCTCAATCAGTGTTTCAGCCGCGCAAAGACATCAATATAACTGCTTGAAAACAATTCATGTAACATCACATTTACCTCAGAAAAAACATATTTGGTGACCATAAACTCATTAGTCAGATAGAAAAATATACTGTAGAGAGGAGCATTTTGCTAAATATATTCACCATATAACATTCATTATAATTTTTTTTTTTTTACCGTTCTTTAATGTTTTATTTATGTTTGAATAAATCTGTCCAAGTTTTTATGACAGCCACAATATACTCATGCTTATTTTACATCATTAGTTGAGAGATTTTTTTTCCTTGAGAAAATGTGGCATGTATTGTACCTGATATGTATCCAAAATAATCGATATTGGATCGAATCGAATTGGTAATCGAATCGAATCGCAGGCTTGTGAATGAGAATCGAATCGTGAAATTTGTGTCAAAACCCAGCCCTAGTGTGGTTAGGCTTGTTTCTGGATGATGATGGTCACGTGCTGTTGTTTTTATTTTCATTTTCACTTCTGTTTTTTTTTTTTCGTTATTTTGTCTCTCTTTTTTCCCCTTATATTCATATTTTTTTCTTTTTATTAATTTTTCTGTTTTTATTTTTGCCCCCCCACCCCCTTTTTTATTTATTTTATTATTTTAATTCTAGTCTATTTTTTCATTTTTCCTTTTATTTTATTATATGCCTTTTTAATTTTTATTTGTTCTTTTCTTTTTTCTTTTAGTAATTTTTGTTGTATTTTCTCTTCTTTATTTCTTTTGTCTTAGTCTGGCCGTTGGTCAGGCTTGTTTCTGGAGGATGATGATGGTGTGTGTGTGGTGGTGATGATGATGATGATGGTGTGTGTGTGTGGTGATGATGATGATGATGGTGTGTGTGTGTGGTGATGATGGTGTGTGTGTAGTTTGTGTGTGTGTGTGATGGTGATGATGATGGTGTGTGTGTGTGCGTGATGGTCATGATGGTGATGATGATGGTGTGTGTATGTGTGATGGTGATGATGATGGTGTGTGTTGTTGGTCTTGCAGCTGCTGCATCAGGACACTCGGAGGAAATATCTGTATCAGCTGCAGGAGTTCCTGGTGACGGATAACAGTCGTAACTGGAGGTTTCGCTCAGAGCTGGCCGAGTACGATCCTCCACACTGATGAGTCTGAGTGTGTGTGTGTGTGTGTGTGTGTGTGTGTGTGTGTGTT